GATTAATACGCAGTTCGATGGTGAGTACATGTGGTGCTTCTTTGACCATTCTTGTGATGTTTCACTTAATAGAATGGGCTCCAGCTCTATCCATTCTAAACATAGTTTCCCCATTTTTATTTTCTTACTCATATTTTTTATAGTTTCCTAGGAAGGTAAGTGTGACATTTTAATCTCTCTGCAGAAATGTTGATGCCTGGGCCGATGAATGCACACACCATCCCTTCCTCACTGTGTCCCAGGTATAAATCTGCTTAACTGTGGAAATGGTCCCCACACTCCTAGATTCTGAGGCTGTTTTGGTAATAACTGTGACCAGGGTCCTCTGATTCCCTCTGGCCTCTCTCCTCAAGACACCAGGTCAGATCCTTTGCACTCAGGTCAGGCAGGTCACCCCGGGACTAAACTCCATCGGTGACTCCCCATGGCTGTCTGCACAAACCCCACAGTCCTCACCCCCTCAGCCCCTTCCTGGTCTGGCCATAACTTCCCCACAGCCCCCCTGCAGCCCGACCCCTGGCTCTGGGGCTCCAGCCACACCCACTGCTCTGTCCTGGGACACCCTGAGCTCCTGAAGCTGCCATGACTGCAGCCAGCTCCTGCTCTGTCTGTGGGGAGACAGGCTCCAGCTGGAGGTCACGGTGGGAGCGACATTCTGAAATAGTCTTGGGTACATTATATGTGTCACACATAGTTCTGTAATATTTAATCATATATGTAGTGATATTATGTGTTGTCATCTGGATGGATTTCATCTTCTGTTCCACATTTCTTTTACTAGTGGGAATTGGATAGTAATGTTAGTATTTTTTAGTAGTTGTACAAATTTTTGTGTTTCCTTTTAACTATTCAGAGACTCTACGTGCATTGTGGGCAAAAGTGTGTGAGAGTCCATCAGAAGTGGCCTGTGTGCACTCCTGGTCCAGGAGAGCGTGTCACCTGCTCTGGAGCAGAGACAGAGAGGATCTGTCCGGGAGGACGGCTCAGAGGAGGGACAAGTGCTGGGGATGCTGGGTGTGACTAGGAGGCCTCTTAGGGGAAATGGGGTTCACAGAGGGGAACGTAGACTGTGGGGGACACTCAGCCCCCTCCAGAGCAAGGCTCAGAGAGGGGGTGGCAGACACTGGTGTCAGGGAGAGGGTGTGGGGTGGGGAGGGGCTGAAGCATCCAGTGGGGACAATGCCCAGGGCCGTGAGGCTGATTCTCCTGCATTTAAGGGGAGACGTTCACCCACAGCTGTGCCTGTCCTCAGTCACCCTGTTAGAGACTCAGCTCTAGGACAGGAATTTTAGGAGACCTTGAGGCTCAGACCTGGCAGGAAACATTCCTGGGTGGCTG